ATTTTTAGAAGGAACTCATCATATTGTAGACATCAAAGTATTGCATTTACTCCCTACCTCTGAAAATAACATTTTGTTCTACTTAAAAAGGCTCGAAAGATAAGCACTAAGAAGTATTCTGCCAAACTGTGTGTACTCAAAGCACAATTTGTATCCATAAATTATACCAAATTCATACAGCCTAAGAGTCTATTTACAATCTCGCTTTTTGGAGTTTGGCAATTGATCAACATAAACAAATTAGCCAGTGAGAATGTTTGAATTTCAAGAAAATGCAACAAAGCATTAGTCAGATAAGCAAAGAAAAAGTAACCAGAAGAAGTTTCTTCTCTCTTAGCTTGTTGAAGTTCGGCATTCACCTCTTGTGCCAACCAGCTTAGGCTTCAAAACGTCCCCCTTCAACACTGGAGAGCCTGTGCTACTAGGCTCCTGAAAGCACATGGACTGACTCCACTGCCGGGTTGGACTGGAAAAGCTTTGGATGGGTGCAATTTTATTACTTGATAATATGTGATCTCTAAGACTCTTCACTGATCTGTATCTTTTAATTTCATCTTCATAATCCTGTGCCTGAACTTGTGAAGCAAAATTGTATATCTGATCCCTCTCAAACCCATCTAACTTTTCCTGGATTTTAAGGCCAAAATCCCAATCTGTAGAATTTGAACTTCCTCTTTCTAAGCAAACACTTCCCCATGAAATTTTCTCGGAGATAGATTTCTGCCCCTTATTTTCTTTTTCAACAGAAATCCCCTTTGATTCACCTTCAACATCATTTCCACAAGCATAACTCCACTTGTAGCTCCTGTCATTGTTGTCCATATTTAATTCAATGGAGTGAAGATCACTATCAGCTGAGTCATCTGCTTCACACTCTTCTCCATCCGCAACTTCACTTTTTTCCACATCTTTATCTACTGCTTGACAGGATCCAAAGTCAATATTCTTCAAATAAGCTTCAAGCTCTTTGATACTCTGCAGATTTGGAGAACCATCACCATTTTCTTCATTTATTTTGGTTCCTAGGTAGGCCTCAAGTTCATTTCTCAGCTTTTCAACAACTGCATTCTTCTCCTCGAAATGATATTTAGCCTCAGAAAGCTTCATCTGGACTCTCTCCTCTCGTAATACATCAGCAAACTGAAGCATTTCTCTTTCCTTCTCCACCTCTTCCCTTACTTTAGCTGATTCTCTTTTCAGTTCTTCTACCGTGGCTCTATCTTCCCCAATACCTCTTGCCAACTCATCACAAACTTGCTCCAATATTTCTTTTGCCCTCTTCTCACTCTCAAGCTCTTTTGTGGCCTTTGACAGAGATTCCTTTGTATCAGCCAATTCTTTTCCAAGCTTCTTGTTTAATCTCTCTGTTTGCCTCCTGAGTTTCTTCTCTACCTCAAGCTCTTCTGCTATGCATGCTATGGCATCACGAATTCTCTCACGCTCCTTTCTCCTCCAAGCCGCCTTTTCTTCTGCAAAATGCCTCATGAGGTATTCAATTTCATTGTGATTAGATCGTTGCTCTCGGATCAATTGATCAACTTGGATGCGAGCTCTATCAAGCTCAACACGTAGGGCAGAGACAAGGGACATGCTTGATGAATGTTGCTCTTCAAGACCGCAAATCCGATTCAAAACTTTTAGGAGTTCTTTAGAAGTGGCTAGGCCATTACTGACATCCTTTAAACGAGTTCTAATTCCAACTACACATCCAGTATGATTTTTACCTCTAGAATGAGTTTCAATCTGCATTCGTGGCATGAGATCAGTAAAAATATTTTTGCTTACTTTTCCTATTCTCTGTAAAATAAGGATTCAAATAAAAGTATATTGCAGTAAATTATCAAGTACCAAACTAAATAACATTAATCAAAGTAAAACGCATTCTCTCAGACAATGAAAAAGAAGCGAAAACAATATTGATTATCAAAATTCCTTGATCAGTATTTATAGTTATACTATTAACCAAATATACAAACAAATGGACACAAAAATAAAAAAACACAATTAAAAACGTTTGATCTCCAATAAATTATAAAATGCAGATTTTGGAGCACAAAGAAACTGTTGGTTAGCAATTCAAACTTGAGAATATCTAATACAAATACCTTGGTGCAAATTAAAAGGTGGGTATTTCTGTGCAGATGTCACTATCAATGTTTCATTTTAAAGAAAACAACAACAAAGCATGCATTTGCCAAAATATCTTCTGGGAAACTCTCTCAGTTTCCTACTTCATAAGTTCTCATAATTCTTCTTTTCAAAAAAATTTGCTGAAAATGACACCTAACAAGCCCCGACTGAAAGGGGGAAAATGCTGAAATCAAAGCCGAAGAAAATTAATTTTCAAAAATTTTTATCACCTCCATCACACTAGCATTGCCAACAGAGCCCAAGCTCCCCAACTTATAATTAGATACTTGAAGCTTTTGAGAAACAACTGAGGCTCTTCTCCTATGAGATTTGGTTCTGACTCGATCCATCTTCTATAAAATTCAACAACATAACAAAACAAAATCAGCAAAAAACACCAAACTTCCAATAAGATATTTTCATATATATATAAAAATTGTTTTCCGAAACTTCAAAATGAGAAGAAAGCATGAAAATCCCACCTCTGAAATAGGACTATAAGACGGATCAGACAAATTCGGTGGCAAAGTATGAGCCATTTTTGCAACTCTAGGCGCTCTTCTCCTCTTATCTTTCTTCTCCAACTCTTCCTTAGCTTGTGGGGAAGGGATTGTATTAATCTCCCACAAAGTGGCAGCAAGTTTTCTAGCAGAGACTGAGGCTTCTTTGGTTTTGTTAACAGTCTTGGGTGAACCCTTGGTGGGAAATTCAGCACATGGCATTGCTAAAGAAGGTGACTTGGTTGATGCTGATTTCCATGTAGGAACAGGGGTAGTTGATCCTGCTCTTTTTCCCACCAAAATTGCACGCTTGAATCTGTATTTTTGGATCAAAGATGATGATGAAGATGAAGAACAACCTCGTTTCCTAATCTTACATGCCCTTTTACCTTTTACCTCCACGTTTTGGTGTTGTTGCCATGACATTGTAGTTTTCACCTTGTATATTTTTTTGTTCTCATTAGAATATGGCCTCAAAGCTCAAATATGGTGACCCGTTTACAAGACTCTCAAGTATTTTGGCACCAAAAGTTTATATTTTGGATACAATTCTATACAAGAAATAAGGGTAAAGATCTCATTGAAATTTAGAGAAATGAACCAAATTTTGAAGATCTCTCTTCAAAGAATGGAAAGTTTTTTAAATGAGATAGAGAGAGCAAAGTGAGAAAAAGATCGGAAAAGAAATTTGATTTGGTGAGTACCCTCTATCTTTTCTTTTTCGGTAAGTCCCAAACTTGTTGCCTTGAATTCATCAAAGAAAGCAACGAAAGCGACAATCAAAGATTCTGCTTCTTCTTCTTCTGGTTTTCACAGAAGAAAGAAACAGTCTAAAACACTAGAAAAAGAAGATCAAAAAAGCTTTTTCAAGAAGGGGGCAGCTGTCAAAAAAAAGAAGGAATGTCGAAAGATATGAGAGAGAGAGACAGAGAGAGAAAGGGAAGGATTTCGAGCTCTTTGCTTCAAGTGTCGTTGGCTTTGATTCAGAAACATTAAGAGAGAAAGAAAGGAAGAAGGAAGAGAAAGTAAAAAGTAAGAGATTACTAGAGAGTTGGGTTGATTATAAGACTAGAAGGGACGACGTGGTGTACACGTGAGACAGGTTACATTCAATCAGGGACGTGCATGTGTAAATAAACGGTCAGTATCTTGACTCGGTTCTCTGTATTTATTTTGCCTGTCTCTGCCCCCCAAATCTCATTCCCTCTGTTTTCACCATAAATTTTGCTCCTTTACCCGTTTTACTTCTCAAAGTTTTAACTTATTAGCTTCTTTGTTAGTGTCACCTCTCCCATTATGCAATTATTATAGCCTATCTCATCCATCATTCACCAATCTATTCAAAATACACAATTTGCTAAAATATTATCAACAACTATTAATTTGATTATTATTTTTTAATTATTGCTTAAAGAGTTACTTTCACTAGTTAGAGCAATAAGGTATGCATTAAGTTTATATTTAAAATAGTGAATCAAATTTATTATTTAATTTTGAATTAGTGTAATTTTATTGTTGTATTTTTTTAATTTAATGATGAAAAAAAAAATTTGTGGATAAATAACCCAACATTTACAAAATATTTTATATAATTCACATTATTATTTTATTTTATTTAAGTCAGAGCAAACGATATCTCATGGCTGTGCCACGATCCAAAATTTTAATGGTCGAAATAATAGCGTAAAGTATTAGGTAAAAGAAACGGAAGTTGCTTTTGAATGAGAACCTGTTGAGATTTCAAACAACCTAAAAGGCCAATACTATATTGGAAAGGGGAAAAACCAGGAGGGGTTAAAGTGAAAATTTGCCCATAACGCAAGGGGTAGTTTTCAAATAAGGGAATTAGGGAAAAAGTACAGAGTAATAATTGTGGACCATACAATTAGTGGTAGTACATCCCTAACTTTATCAGTCAATCAATCAATCAATTAACCAGTATCTTCCCACAAGCAAAGGAAAGGAAAGGAAAGGAAAACAGAATAAGGGAAAAAAATTTAATGGAAGGTGAGGCCAATGAGGTGGGGAGGGACCCACTAACGGCTCAAATCGCTTGGGATTTTCCTTCCTAGCTGTTTCTCTTGGACTCCAATATATAAAATATATCAAGATGGGGTCCCACTTCTTTTGGCAACGAAGTAAGCCATTCTTATAAAATCCCAAACTTGGGTTAAATCAGCAGGGGTGGTCCATGAATCACCATGGTGTTTGTGATCATAGGACCTTTTCAGGGTGAGTCAGTTGATCTTCCTAAATGGCAGTGGTCCTATCCTTTACCTTTTGGTCATCCATCCCACTTGGAAAAATTTTGGGTCTTGTTCTTGTTCTTTATCACAAGAAAATTTTGACAATTCACGCTTCTGAATAAATCTCACTGGGGAGAATGCGGCCCCCCGTTACCATATCAACGCCATAATATTGGACTGAACCTCCCAATCATGGTGTTGACATTTGCCAGGTTTCGATTGGTTTGAGGCTGGATATGCGATGGTATGCTAGATTGACATGTAACTCATTATCACATGATACTCTTGATTTCTTTTTTCTTTTAATAACCCCCAATGATTTTTTTCCCTAATCAACAAAATACTAATTCAGAAAAACAAAAGATATCATAGGTTGCTAATTGAAAAAAAAAATAATCGTAAGGTGTCTTGTGAACCATATTAATGTAAGTACAGTTAATTATTTTAAGGATGAAGAGTGCTTTGAGACATTTATTTGGATTATTTCTAAATTCATTTTCCTCTGAATAAAAATATATTTAATATTAAATATATTATTTACTTACAGATGACTCTTTTAAAGTAAATTTAAGAAAATGTATGCTAAGGAGGGAATATATCTAGCAATGATCTGTTTGAAATCACTATACATTCTATGTTAAAAATATGTTTATTAAAATCACTATAATTAAAATTTCATATCATAAAAAATAATTTGAAAAGAGAAAATTAAGAAGCTCTTGTCGAAACATAAACGAACTTTAGTATCTTAAAATGGTAATCTTATTGAACTAATAATTTTTTCTTTCTTTTGATTTGTGTGGAGAAGACAATGGTACAATGCATCACCATACGCTCGAAAAAAAAATATAATAATTTGGTTGAAAATAAATAAAATATTATTTGACAATAACATTGCTATGGTTATTATTGCAGTCGTTCCTTACTCAACAAATTGAATCAAGAATTTACTTGCGGTTATAAAGATTTGGAGCAAAATGCATTTAGGTTTGAATTTCATTGCTTCATAATGAAAAATACTATTAATAACGCTGCATGTAACAATGGCAAGAACAACAGCAATAATGACAAAAATTAATGTTTTCTGCATTTGAAAAAATTATTATTACTCAAAAGAGTAATTAGAGATATATATGTATTTACATTAAGTCAAATGCTCGAAAATGTTCCAATCACATTATTGAGTAGCAATAATCGCAAGTTTCTTAAAAGATCACTAATAATAAATATTCAATGAGAAATTATTATATTAAGCTTCTAGTAGAAGAAAACAATTTGTTTCATCAATTGACTTGCTTTAAGGTGCCTCCATGACTACTCTCTGTAAATCCCTATGGTATGCCAATTTAACTTTGTACCTATCCAATGGAATCAAATCAAATGACTCTCAGTACTTGAAAAAGATAATATTACCCCCAACTACTCCTACTTTTAAACATGAGATTATATTCGAAATGTCTCAAATTGGAAGATTAGAATGAAAGATAGAATATATCAAATGAGAGGGTATTAGCTTCAATGCTCCAAATATTGCCCATAGATTGGCAAAAAACATTTGAATGTTGAACATTGTCTGCAGAAGGTTGAAGTAGTGAATTTGAATAATAATAATAATTAACAATAATTAAAAGTACGTAAACAAGTGTGATGATTTAATAATAATTATGATAAGTATCAAGTTTAGATCAAAATCTTAAATTTGAATTGTACGACATATATTTAATGATAAACGACAATACCAAAACTTGAATGCATTGTGTACATATTAATCTAACCGAATAAAATCTCTTGATGTTCAAAAAAGGTTAATAACTGCGCTCAAATTAAAAACTTGGTCGGGACCATGAAACAGTTCGTTTCCTAACGTTGTCAAAGGAGATTGCATTTTTGCATGGCTACAAAAAATAAAATATAAAACTTTGGGTGTCCTTATATAGCTTTTTGAAGGTCCCAATTAATTAAGCTTGAAGTTGCTGCTCATCCTACTTTCCTAACATCAATAAAACTTACACTAACCTCAGCTACTTCTTAACTGTAATATAAGTATATCAACTAAACTTTTGAAAATAGACTTGGGGGAAAAAAGAAGATTGTGCACCCTAAAAGCACCCATGCAAGAAATTTGTATATACGGATGAACCGTGGATGAAACGCAGTGTTTAGATGGAGACTGTCATAAGATGAAAGAGAAGGGGTGAGTGCATAAAGGCTTGTTAAAGAGGGGGTGGCGATGGCGTAAATAGTGCATCCTCTTTCTTTTAATGTTTTTGGTCCAAAGGCTTGTTAACGTAGACAGTGAGGTACAGTTGACACATTTATGTTCAAGCCGTATAGCTGTGTCAAGTGGCCTTTTTATTTGAGGCAAGTCACACTGTTTTCAAGGTCTGCTGGTAGGTTTGGAGTGGTATTCAGGATGGGGTATTCAACGGCCACATTTTACTGATATTTAACCAAAAAAACAGGGCCAAAAAAGGCGATGCTAAGGACGGTCTACAATATAATTTTAAAATCTCTAATATATCAATTAAAACGATAAATATGAATCCAGGAATTAAGTTCGACTTATCTTTGAATTAAATATTTTGACGTCCGAATCCATATTTTAATTTATAACAAAAAAATAAAGGGGAAATCTTTATTAATAAAAGGAAAAAGTGATAACCCTATGTTCTTCCCAAAGTCAAAAGAGCCAGAGTTGTTTTTGTTAGGAGAATCCTTCTTTTTCATTGAAAGGAAATAAAGGAAACGTACATACAAGCAGGATATAGATACAGAATGGAAGAAAGCAAAGAGAATGATACTTTTGAACAAGGAGAAAGGAAAGGGGAGAAAAGGAGTTTAGAGAAAACCGAAACTGATTCATAAACAGATTACATGGAATTTAAAAGTAACCCTCAGACCTTCCCTTGAATCCAATTTGTCCGAAAGTAAGAGTGATGAACAATCCTAGGTGCCATAATACCAGCCACAACCTGGTCATCAAAAGAACAATCATAGTTAAAATTAGACATGGTTAGATTTATTGACCAACAAGACGAGAAAGATCACACACAAGAATATACTTTTCCATAGTTTACACTATTAGGTATTTGTAAAAGAAATTTTGTTTCTCTTTTCGGAACTTGGTCATCTTCATTTTTTCATTTTTGAATATATGTAAGAAGTTTAAAAGGATAGGGAAGAGTGGAGTCTTAGGCTTTAAAAGAGGTAATAATGGATAGGTTAGATTTAAGTTACCTTCTTTTCCTTATTAATAATTATTAAAATTATCAATACATAGATCAAAGGTTCTTGAGAGTTATGGGGTGAATGCTCTAACATTTGGTACCACTGTGACTAAAGCATGAATAGCCTAAATACGAAACATGTGAACAAATAGGTCCCATGGTCTAGTGGTCAGGACATTGGACTCTGAATCCAGTAACCGCAGTTCAAATCTCGGTGGGACCTAATGTTTCATTTTAGTAATTTGCTTCAATGGGCTACATGTTGGGCATCAAAATTCAATGGGCTAGGTATTGACTTTGCATAGCAGAATATGTAACCTGGACCCCAACGTCGGGCATTGAAAATTGGTTGTCTTTTAGATGTTGGGTATTGAATGTTTAATGGGCTAACACAGTGCTGGTGGCGGTAAACAAGCCCAAATATCATTAACGAGAAACCCTCCACAGGTCACCAAAAAATTTTGTAGCTAGAAATTGTGTGATATCATCCTAGTACTTGGTACTTACCAAAACTGGGAAGTAAGAGGAGGAGGTGAAGGGAAGTGAGCGAGCTCAGCTCCAATGCTCTCAAAGAAAAGCCCTGTCAAGCTCTTCCCATTGATTGCTGGTATGCTCGATGGAGCTATCCACCCAATCAGCCCAAATCCTATCACGTTGAAGTCCGTACGCAGCCAGTCTCTCTCAAAGCTTCCATGATTCAATCAGACCCACATTTATCAAAATTAACAAATCATTCAACATTCAATTAGATTATCAAATGATCAAAAACTTACCATGTGAACTTGCCCCCTGAAGCACCAGCCACCCTCAAAGGGTTCCGAGCCTCCGCACGGGATTTCAGGAAGCCTGAAATCATACACCCAGTTATAAATCAACAGCCTCGGGGAAAATGCCTTCTAAAAATGGTCATTCTCACTGGTGTATATAAGTATTTAGTGCTAAATAGAGTTTTTAGACTTGCTTGGCATGACAACTATTGCTTGCACGATCATAGATTAATAATAACTCGAAGCATAATTAGGTCAAAGAGCAAGGTTAAACTTCTCCTTTCCCAAATATAAGATGCTGATCAATTTAAAAACGAACAGGTCATGGTAACAAATTAGACAATTAACTTAATTTTGATAAAAATGTTGGAGTAACGTCTACAAGATGGTGTACCTGAAGAGAGGCATGCTTTCTTTGCTGGGGTTGATAGCAAGGTGGTGCTGCCAAGGCCGACGACGGTTGATGGGCTTGCAAATGTAGCTGCCATTTTCGATGTAATGGTTTAGGGCAAGCGGCAGATCGGTAATGACTGAAAAATGCAAGTAGGGAGGGTTGTGGTGGTGGATGTAAGATTGTGAAGGAGTGGGGTTTAGTTTGCTTGGAATGAGATGAAGATTTTGTGGAAGAGAAAGATTGCATGGGGTGGGTAATTGCTCAATAGTTTTGAGCCACGTTGGAGTTATGTGGATAATGGGCTCCTCCTTGCCTTGTTGGCTCTTCAGTCTCTAAGAGAGAAATGGATTACGCTTTGATATTCCGATCAGCTTTCTTGCCGCGATATATACTTTGCAATATTTTGGCACTTGCTAGATTGGGGCAGTGCTTAAGATTTTTACGTACACTGTCCTTTCATTCATTATTTTCATTCGGCATAAATCTCAGCTTGACTAGAAGAATAATATTGAATCTCGGGTATATAAGATGTTTTAAGGTTATCGTTAAACTTTAAACAAATAACCTAATTATTCTCATGCCTCAATATATTTCAAGGAAGAACAAACATACTGTGAAGAATTGGATGATCATATAGGTACTAATTATTATATACATTAATTTTGGATTGCTACGGTGCACTAGGGATATATATGGTTAAAAGATTTATCAAGTTCTCATACTCATTAATTTTATTAAATTTAGTTTATGTACTCAAAATCGAAATAATTTAATTTTTCTAATTGTAAAAATTACATCAATTTAGTCATTCCTCCTAACGGTATCTAATTTTTTCATTAAAAGATAACGTTTTCGCTGATATCAGTAATGACACCAGCATTGATGTGTCACTTTTTAATGATGTGGCATGCCATGTGACACCAAGTGATGGTGTGGCAATGTCACGTGGCACTATAAGATGACGTGGCATTGACATGTTGACATGTCAGTGCTACATGGTAGATTAAATTTTTTTTTTAAAAAAAAAACTATCACATCATAGGGACTAAAGTGAATAAAAATATATAATACATGGATTAAATTGAATAAAATTGAGATGTAAGGGACTAAATTAAAAAAAATAAAAAATACAAATCTTCAAGTAGATTATTGATATGCTTATTAATAAGCCAAACATTTAAGTATAAAAAATTTATGGTGTTAAAAATATATATAAAATTTTTTTTATTGGATTATTTGATTCTAAAATATGTAAATTAATTTATGTTTACAACAATTAAGTTTGAATTCTCCTTCTATAAAAAAATTTGAAAAAAATTGATATTTGAGGTCAAATTTAGATGAATAACTTGTATTACGTTAAAATAAAATAATATAAAATGACTAAATAATTTTTTTTCTCTATTTATAATGTATAAAAGTTTAAAATTTATTTAACGTAGTTTTTAACTTTAGCTAAAGTCAAATAAGCAAAATATGTTGATTTAGTTTTTGCTTTTAAAAAAATGAAGAACGGAGATATGGAGTTAACGATAATTATAAAAGTAATTTCTCATTTTGACTTGCTTAATTTGGATATGACAAACCTTTTATTACAACTATAGAATCTGAGTTCCACCCTTCCAATTATTTATTTATTTTTTATGTTCTTATTTTGTTTAATATTTTAAGTTATATTTTTTAAGTTGAAATTTTCTATATTAAAAATTGTATTTATGGTAGATAAAGTTAAATATAACTGTAAATATTTGTTCTATCTTATTTTATTAATAAATTTTTTGTAAGTTCAAATTAATAATTTAAATTTAAATTTAGCAGAATTTGATTGTGATATTTGAATTTAAATAAAATCATTTTATAAGAAATTTTGAGTAAATTTAAATAAAAGGTAAATTAGGTAAGAGTTGAATAATTTCAAAAGAATGTATATTTGTAAATTGTGAAAGTTGTAACTAAGTCAATATATTTTGCTAATTTGATAAATAAAAGGTAAATTAGATAACAGTTGAATAATTTCAAAAGAATGTATATTTGTAAATTGTGAAAGTTGTAACTAAGTCAATATATTTTGCTAATTTGATAAATAAAAGGTAAATTAGATAACAGTTGAATAATTTCAAAAGAAATGTATTTGTAAATTGTGAAAGTTGTAACCAAATCAACATATTTAGTCATTTTATATTATTTTATTTTAACATAATACAAATTATTCATCTAAAGTTGACTTTAGGAATGAAATTTTTTTATTTTTTTTATAGAAGGAGAATTCAAACTTACTTTTTGTAAAAAAGATAAATTAATTTATATATTCTGTAATCAAATAATTAAGTAATAAAATATTTATATATATTTTTAACATCATATATTTTTTATATTTAAATATTTAACTTATTAATAAACATATCAATAATCCCTATACTAACCTGTCAGCATATAAGTGTCATGTCAGTATTGCCATGTCATCTGATAGTGCCACGTGCCACGTGGCATTACCATATCATCACTTGGTACCACATGGCATGCTGTGTCATCATCCCAACGCCACATCATCAAAAGTGACATATCAACGTTGATGTTATTGCTGACATCAGTGATGATGCCATCTTTTAAAAAAAATTGAATGCTATTAAGGGGAGGAACTAAATTGACGTAATTTTCAAAATCAAAAAACTAAATTGCTTTGAATTTAAATACAATGACTAAATTAAATAAAATTAAAGAGCACAAGGACTTAGTAGGTCTTTTAACCATATATATATATATACAAAACCTTTCTTTTTAAAATTTGGAATGAGAATGTAAAGATTCAAATATCACTATAATTAAGGCAATCAAATACAAACCCCCCACAATAAACTTCTCAAGTATACTTTGACCCCTCTTATTTTAAAATGTGCTGTTGGTTCTCTCGACTTTTCATTACCATTAGATATTAGTCAACAGTTATTTACAAATATGAAAATATTATGAAATATAACCTAAAAGAAGTAATTATGAAAAAATACTGACATGACACGATTAATCACACGATTAACACGTTTAACATGATTAAATAAAAATATTTATAACTAAATATAATTTTATTATTTAAATTTAAAATAAATAATTATAAAAACAATTATAATAAAAAAATAACAATAACATCAAATATAACAAAAAAAATTAAAATTAAGGTTTGGGCATGGCATAATTACATTATTTTCTTTATCAAATTTAAAAATTTGATTAAAATAATTGTTTAAAATTATTTAAGTAAGGCTCAAATAGTCTTTAACTATTAATTTTTAACAAGTTGATAAAAGTGTCATCTATATACGTTTAAACACAATAACATGATTAAACATGTGTATACGTTTAAACACGATAATATGATTAACATGATTAATTAAACGTGTATAAACGTATTTTAAATGTGTTACTTATGTCTGACACGTTAAGACACGAAAATTTTCTTGTTTTAACATGTTAGGCACGATTAGACATAAAACACGTTAAGGTTAAACCCAAACCTACTTAACCTTGTATTTTTCCGTGTCATATCTAAAACTGCCAAGTATACTCTACAGTGCTAGGAGAATCATGGCTGCGACATTGAGCTGGAAGGGTGCATCATACGAGAGGTCGAAAGCACACCGTCGCAGTGCTACCAAGGCTTATCACGACACCATGGCACCACCCCAATTTTCAAAATTAAAGCTTTGATGAAAAATTGGAAAGTAAGGCCCTTTGCACATATTTAAGAGCTTTGTTTGAGAGCATTCAAAAGAAGAGATGGCTGCAACTTTTCTAGAAAATTAGAGCTAAGAATCTAAGAAGAATTCAAGAGCAATTGAAAGAGATTCGAGATCAACCTGGCTTTGATTTTAGTTTATTTCGCTCTCATGTTATTCTTATTTTCTTGTTTTGAATTCATGCCTAACTTTCTTTGGATAATGTTTTATTTAGATATTATGAACTAATTTGGTTATCTAGGACTATGGTGGATTTCAACATATATTCTAAATGCTTGTTTTTCTATTATTTATCATGAATGGGTATCGTTTTACTTATTTAAATATGTTTTTAATGTCTTAATTACTTGATCAATAATTAATTGACTTGTGAATCTAATTAAAACTAAACAGAAAGATTTTAGTTGAAGTAAGATTTGAATAGTATATGTTCACATTACTTAAGTGATCTAATTTGCAATTCAAGTGGACATATGTCAATTGCCATATACAGCCAAATTATGACACTTGCTTAATGAACTTAATTTGATTGATTCCTATAGACATATAGTGAACTAATTAAGTTAGGTATTTGTACAAGTATCTCAATAGAGACTTATCTATAGCTTTGGATTCTAGGTTAGTAAAACCAACCAAGAAAAATAAATAATAAGAAAAGCTAGTATTAGATAAAGTTTTGAATGAACCCATGATCTTAGGTTTTCAATCTGCTGCTTTTTTCAATAAATGTAATTTTTGTTAGTTAATTTAGTATTTCTTTTAAATTTTTTTTTTGATTAGCTTTTTACTTTTTAGATTCCTTAAATAAGATTAATTTGTTATATAATTTTAGTACTTAGTGAAACTTTAAAAACTAATCTTTGTAAGAACAATAATCTGGGCTTACTATCTATATTACTTCTTCGATATATATACTTACATGTACAAAATTGACAACAAGTTTTTGAAGCCGTCACCAAGGATTTTTGTTTTCTTTATTATTTACTAATATTAAAATTTCACAAATTAGTCTTAATTTAAGCTTTATTTCTTTGTTTTATAGGTGCGTTTAGTCGTTGTTTGAGAAAAGCAAAAAGCTTGGAGATTATCTTTTGTGATTTGGAGATTGAGAGAACGTTTTGAAGACTTCAACGAGAGAATCAATAAGGTTTCGCTCCAATAAATACAATGGTTGATAAATAGCGCGAACAACAAATCCAAGAGCACGTAGGAGCTCAAAAATCATTGCTTAAGGGGTTATATTATCCCGTTGGTGCAAAGAATTCCATTGAGCATTCGAAGGCCAGCTATTCAAGCAAACAATTTCTAGATCAAGTTGGCTATCATTACCATGATTCAAACCTTTGTCCAATTTAAGGACTTCTAAATGATGATCCAAATGACCACATCTCAAACTTCTTAGCAATTTGTGATACATTCAAACACAATGGTGTCACAAATGATGCAATTTGTTTGAGGTTTTTTCCTTTTTCATTGATCGATAAAGTGAAAGCTTGGCTGAATGCATTTCTCACTAGCTCAATAACAACATGGGATGATCTTGCTCAAAAGTTCCTTGCTAAGTTCTTTCTTTCAGCAAAGATAGCGAAAATGAGGAATGATATTACATCATTCATGCAACAAGATCCTGAATCATTATATGAGGCTCGAGAAAGATACAAAGAATTACTTTGGCGTTGTCATCATCATGGTCTTCCTATTGGAATTTGGATCTTAATGGATTGATGTGATTATGTAAAGTATAGATTTTAAAAAATTTCTTTTATAAAGAAAGCAAACACTTCATTACACAAGCGAAAACACATATCATTCTTATTGCAAGTAACATAATCATATCCCAAAAAAAATAAAAATCTATTAAGTAAGAGAAAACATTCCTTTTATTTTGATATTTTTATTTTTGGATACCACCACACCAATGAATAATTTTTTGACTAAACAATTTTAGCACTTAGTCTTCAATAATGCTTTCAACTTAAACCTTAAGTGGATAAGGTGTAGAATGCTAGACTACAAGATGACAATCAATTTTGTCTCTCTTTTCTTCCTAAAATTAATGGCTACTTTTCTTTCAAAAAATTCAGCTAAAAATGGGAGAGAGGAAGAAGGATAAGGCAAAGTTTGGAGAAGGAGGAGGAGGAGAGAAGTGACAGCTGAAACTTTTTCAAAAAAAAAATACATACGTTTTTTTTTTGTCAATCTTTTTTTTTTTATTAAAACTCTTGCCTCAAAGGTTTAATCAAAATCAAACACTTTTCAGTCGATATTGACCATCTATTTAGAGTTATGGAAGCATCAAACATGCTCCATAATTATCAAAATTAAAATTAAAGAATAAATAATTTAATTCTTTAATTATCATTTAGAGTTCTTGATAAAATAAAACTCGTTATTGAATAATAACTCTTATTTTATTATTATCTATTATTATTTTAAAAAATTAATAATAAATAAAAAAGTGACAGTCAAACATAAAATCTCTTTTTATCAACATAGATGTCTAGATTTATTTTGCAAGAATTCTCCTAGCATTTTCTTAATTTAAGACAACTCTAGTATTTAATTAAGACAAAAAATATTTTTCTTATCTTAAATTAAGAAAAACATATTTCTTGTCTAAATTAAGACCAAACATGTTTTCTTATTTAAATTAAGGCAAACATATTAAAGCTGTCATTTTTGCACACAATTTAATTAATTAAATTAAAACCTACATTCCAACTTAAACAAGTTGAATTTTACGAAGCTACGTGGAAAATCTATTTGGTCATAGATATTTCAAGCTTTAATAAGCTTAAAATTATTCTTAATCTCAATAACAATAATTTAAGTTTATTAATCATGAAATCACTCTACTATAGATTCATGGTTGCACTCTTGGATTAACTATAATTATAAGAAACAATTCAATATTTGATATTAGTGTTTAGTTGTCCAATAGAAAACCTTATATTGTGAATCTCATAACCATCTAGTGATAAAAGATAAAATTATCATTTTACCCTTTATGTCAATTTTGTCCTATCAAATTTCATTCAATTAGTGATTCAATACTCTAGATCTAATCTTTTAAGTATCTAGATGTGATGAGTAGCTAATTTATCAATCCATTGGGCTTAAATTAATTATTAATCTTTTTTAAATCGCTAGAAGTTTTTGAAAGACATATTAAGAATTGAGCGTTGGATCGACTTGAAAATTTGCATGAATGGCACGTGACAACTCAAAAATTCAAGAAAGGTTTTTTTATAGAAGTAGTGATAAAAACGTTTCCTATTTATTTAATTAAAGATATTTTGAATATATAAATGTAATAAAAAAATTTATATTTATTGTTAATTAATTTTAAATTAAATATTTATTTTTAAAAGTTCAACATAGTATTAGAGTAGAAATTGTCCCTCTTATTATTATCTCTTTTGAGATGAGCTGTCACCTAATATGTTCGATATCTCCATCCATTGTTTGCTCCTCTGTAGATCCTCATTTGATGATTCATAGTACATGTAAATCTGTGATTCCTACTTATAAGGCAAAATATTAAAATGGTATTGTTAAATTAAAATTTTTTTAAAGTATATAAATAGAATAAAGATCAATCGATTTTAAATTGAATATCTATTTTAAACATTTAACAAGTTTGATGCAAATCTTTGTAAAAAATCTCGTATATTTCATGTTCTAAAATTTCCTTTCCTTAAAACATACCACCATTTTCTTCGGAAGCTCATTGTTTACAAACTTTCTACCGTAGTCAATGAATGTTAAAAGATGTAGGAATATATCGCCATCAAGTATAGTAATAGTATTAGAGTCTTGGCTAGCTTGATTTACAATCTTTTGCAAATTAATCTTACCTATTTTACGATCTTTTCCTTCACAGAACTAAGTTCGGGTTTGATTCCTTTTTATGTGTACCAAAGAGTTCAGGGTAACTAGGGGAGTTTATATTTTTTAATTTATTTTAATGTTATATTTATAAAGGCTAACTTGGCAAACATTTTAAAGAGTTGTCACATATTCATTAAACTTTATTTAAGAAAATTAATCAATTAATATAATTACTAAATAAACCTATAAATTTCGTCGTATAGTATAAAAATGGCACTACAAATTAAAGGTTTAAGATGTCCAAATAGGTGGGCAGCCAACCTTAATTAGGGATACGGACATGATTCGGCAAAATTTATGGTCTGAAAATTGAGGGATACCCACTTCTTCCCAAACCATAGAATTGAATGGTTGGGTTCACACTTATTGCAATTTGCAACAAATTAAGGGCTCCCCTTGTCCTCTTAAACTTAATATTAAAAAAATAAAAAACCTTTCAAAAGGATCATCAACAAGTAGCAGATGGTTAGTATTTAGCTGGACGGCAAACATAGGGACAATATTTGTGAGTTAATTGCACTTTTGTCTGAAAACCTTTTTGAGATGTTTCATTTTCATCCACGATTTAAAAACAAAGATTCAATTTCTTTTATTTTTGACATTTTGAAAAAAAATTTCAATCCACCAATTCGTCAACAAATTATAAAGATATGGAAAGAATTTGTCACGTGCACAGATTAATTCACCTAAGCGCAACTTAGTGAATTTTGTTCATATGGCGCCCATTTTCTAATTATGTGTCGACATATCTATGGTTTTGAAGCAAATTTAAAATTTTCTGCATAAAAAAAGTCAATAATTTTATTAGAGATAAAATAAAATAACTACAATGGAAATTGAGCGCAATTAAAAAGATAGTTAACATCCACAAGTTCACTTCTGTTTAAAGTATTCTTAATATGACAACTCACTGCCTAATAACCTGTCTAGCTGTTCAACTTATTTCAATATGTAAATATATATCCGGCGAGGGCCGGTAAATTTTCCAATTTTGATCTAATATTACTTTTAATTTATACCTGAACATGAGAGTCAGCTGTTACAAGGATTTAACTGAAGTTCTGAGATTCCCATGGAATTAACAAAATAAGCTGTGGCCTTTCATTTGCATGAAAACATATAATAATACGTGAAATAATGCTATAATACTATAAGCTGTGGCCTTTTTTCTTTTTATATATATATATATATATATAATACTATAGAAATCAAAGTCAAAACCACCAATGCAAGAAATTAAAGAAGCCCCAATGACATGAAATACTGCTGTCTTAATATATACCAAAATAACATCTGACCAATTCGTGCAGACGATAATGCACAAAAATCTTGGCAGAAAACATCAGTCCGGAAAAAAGTCAAAAGAAGTATACTTATTCATAACCTAGAATTATTATATTACTTTTCCCATTTGGACCACGGAAACATTGCAAATGTATTTCATTTTTCTGCTTTAATTTTGCACCAAGCATGAGAAAAAGTAAAGAATGAAACAAATTAAATAATCAATTGAACAACTTCAATTACAAATTTACATGCATTATGATTTTAGGTATCAAAATTGTATTTCTATAAAAATATACATCTTGTGGTGGGAAGAGTTGAATCTTTGAACCTGTAATTTTGCTGAAATCTTATTACCTGAACAACATTGCTGACCAAAATGTTACAAACCCGGCAACGCCAATACTAATGCAAACCAAATCCAAAGCCCTTTCTTTCCTTTGCCTCCTTTCTCTTCTCTCCCTTTTCCTCTCTTCAAACTCCTCGTACCTCTCTTTCCCTTCATTTCCAATCCCTTTCTTCCTCCTCCCATTCTCCATAACCCCTTCCAAAATTACCAAACTATCCTTCCCATTCAACCCTTTCCCTTCCATGTCCTCCATCACCATGCTCACTTCCCTCACGTGCATCTCCCGTCCTTCCTTTCCACCGCACGTGACCACTACCCCACACTCCACTAACTCCCTCGACGATCCCCGCCGTCCACCCCCGCCCACGACCATCCCAAACCGGACCTGCACATCACCCGTCAACCAGTGCCGCTTCACGGAAACAGCTCTCCTACTCGACATGTTCACCGCCGCCTTCTTCCGGCTCGGGTCGATCACTATCCAGCTCAAACTCAAGTTTTCCTCCAAATGTTTTAGCCACGTGTCAACTTTATTGCTACCTCCAAAATACTTAATCGGTGTCGGAGCGGAGTCTTTCGGGTCAAGTAAATCCACCCGGAATGGTGAGCACAAAAACCAGCTGCTTGACGTTTCCATTTCTTCAACTTTAGAGTAAATAATTTTGTTCCGATAGGAAATATCAACTGCAGAGATGAGTTCCGTTGGCAGAGTCAAACAGTTGACGTTGAGTTTTAACGGTCGGAGATCGAGAAACGGGAAAGCATCGGAGAAGAATGAGCGGTGGCCGGAAGGGAAAGCGGAGATGATTTTTTGGAGACGCGGGTGATTAACGGAAGGCCACGTGGAAGAGCAAATGTTTTGCCAGAGATTTTCTTCGGAAGAGAGGGCGTGTAAGTGAGACGATGCGCAGGCGAGGGAGGCAAGGGAAGGGCCGTCGAGTCGGGTGAGGATGTGGGAATGGAGGATGTCGGGATGGACGGTGGAGATGGTTTCGTTGCTGGCGTAGCCGCCTTGATCAACGGTTGTGGATGTTATGGTTTTCATTTTGTTAGAAATGAAGAAGAGGTTTCCTTTCTGAGTTGAGACCGAGCGAAAGTGTTAAAAGGACCATCTTATAGGAGATTGCAAACTTGTTCAAACAGTCAAACACGGACTTGTGTTGGGAAATATCTTGCTTACTTCCCTCCCACCTATCATGAAAACCCGTACACCTTATTTTTATGTCTTTTTTATTTAATTTTAGCTAAAGTGGAAAATCTTGATATTTTTACAAAAATTAAACGTTCGTCCTCAACACACTTTTATTTAAAGAAATTTCTTAATATTTCAAAGGGGTTTTTCCTTTAAACTTTGTCTTCTGATATAAAGAAATATTGAAAAATTTTATGTAAAAAAACTGTTTTACGCATTAATTTTATTTTTTAATGTTTATAATTCATTAAAATTTTAAAATAAAATAGTAAAGACTATAAACATTTTAAGATTTAAAAAAGGTAAAAGAGTAAAAAAACTGAAATTCTGTTTTTAACTCTACTGTTTCAGTTTATAAATATTTAAAAAAATGAAACATAGTTTTGATTAATCGTCATTATAAAATAAGCTAATATATATGTTTATATTGGACACATTAATTATCACTCACGAAATTCTATTACCTCATTAATGAAATACAACTACAAATCTTTAAATATTTAAGATTAAATATTAAAATTTCTTAATTAAAAAAATAAAACATTTTCAATTTTTTTAGGTTCTTTCCTATCTTCATCAAGCATCCAAAATAAATGCTTTTTAAAAGGAATTGCCGAAACCTAACAAAGATTGAGGAACTTGATAAAGAGATTTGGTAAGAGGATTATGATTTTTATTGAAAATTAGTGTAAATGGGGTTTAGATGGAATTTAAAAAATTAACAAAATTGACTTTAAGACGAGCCCTTTAATAAATACTATCTTTAAGATTTATTTCATCTCATTATTTTGTATGCAAAGGAGAATAATGTAAATAACTTTAGAGGTACAATTAAGTTAAAATCTAATTTTATCCTACACTTTACGAGAGTAAACCACTAGATATACTCGAGAGTTTGTAAAATTTTAAAACTTACTTTCTACAGTAAGTAGATTATAAGGAATTTAAATGATTTTGTAATTTATATGAATTTAAGTGTTGATGTTAATAGAATACAACACTTTTCTTGTTTTTAATTTTTCTATTTTTGTTTTGTTTTTATTTTGATGCATCAAATGGTTGATAATAAACCCTTTATGTAGGCTTGCAAGTTTTTTTTTTAAAAGGATACAACCCTTTCATTAAGACACCACTTTGTCTGAAAAACATCTTTACATTTTGCAAGACACAATCTTTAGATAAAAGTATTGTTTCAATAATCATCTTATGAAAAGACAATCATTCATTCCATAAAATATAATCTTTGAGTTATAATTTGAAACGATAACTTTTTATATTTAAACTTTTGAGTTATGGTATTTTTTTAATTTATCTCATAACCTTTAGATGTCATTTTACCAAAAGATATAACCATTCACATGAAAAACCTACCTACAATTCAATAGTCATATTATGTTACTTTATGTGACATAATATTTGAACTAAGATAACATTTCATTATGTGACATAATTTTTTATTTTGAAAATACACCAACAGAATAAGAATTCAAATATAGAAATCAATTAAAAAATATATTACTAAAATCAACAAGTAAAAATTGTATTTTTAAAGTTGCATAATTTTACCAAACTGAATTTTATTGACATAAGAAGGTAATGGAATTGAGAGAAAAAGATGATAACATGAAAAGAATGGTTGTAAGGAGGTTGTAGAGGGAAGAAAAGATTTTTTTTATTTTTATGTATTTTTTAAAAAAATTATGAATATTTAATTTTGAATTTTTAAAAGATTTTGAATTTCATTTCGTTAATGAAGTGATAGTAAATCTTTAAATATATAAAGATTATGCATTGTCAATATATCAAATATTTTCCATTGAATTGAATAAGAATCAAAGGCCTGCATGCACCTCTAATTGAGTTGCAAAATTCACAATAAAAAATTCTTGTACCCCTAATGTATATCCTCCCAATTCTCAAATAATAATAATAAAAAAAATCAATCATCAAGAAGCAGGACAAATGATCTTCCCTTCAACTGAATTAATCTTTCAATAATTTTAGAGTAACCATTTGCACTGAAGATTTCACCAAACCATTTGCAGGCAACTTGGTGTTATACCTTGAATTTTGGGGACAGTCGGCTAAAATTTTTGCGTGTGAATGTAGTTAACAAAACCGAACAAGGGTTGGTGAGTAGCATTGCCCTCACTTGGAAACCAACTGACACTGGATGACGCAGCAAGTTCATGAAAATCAAAATGGGCCGCTACTATTTTTGCATTTATTAAACCTACTCAGGAAGTGGACGTTACGTTTCGGCACTCAAGTTTTATCCATACATTTATTTGTTGATAAATATAATATATATATATATATATATTGGGTACAAAATGTATGGATATATTGATTGGGTAGACATTACATGAGCTAGTGCATTCTTGCTTGGCACCCATTTTAACACTTGTGTTTCACATGCTCCATTTGTGGATGCATGAAAGAAACACATGATTCATGGGGAGGTACATGGAACTTTCTTGTCACAGTATTTATTATTAATCACTAAGCAAAAAAGGTTTACAGTCAAATTTTCTACACCCTATATATATATATATATATATATCCCATTCTCTTTGACCCAATCGTTCCTCTTTCCACCAAAGCGTGCTACTTGATCAAAAACTGTTTATTGACAATGAAGACATGAATCAAAGTGAGGGATTAATTCATTCAATAAAGAAATTACTGAAGGATCAAAGTGGGTTTCTTTTTTCTCTTTTTAAAGAATCGAAATGGGTTTTTGTTAAAACCAAAAAAATTCTAACTACAATGGTTGGGGCCACGTAATATGCCATAAATTAAGCTATCTTACTGTTTGAGCTTTAACTTTTAAGGAGTAAATAAGGTTATCCTATGAAGTTGGTGATGGCCTATTAATTTACCATTGATTAGTTCTATTATATTTTCGCCAAACTGTATTGAATCATGGCCAATGTGGTCATTTTCTAAACTATGTTCTGCTAAACCGTATAATAGGTTTCATTAAATTAATCCTTCTCTTAAACCCTAATATTTCAATGTCAAGTTAGGTGAGAAAGTGACAATGTTTAATCAGTTATGAATCGAAGCTTTTGATCTAGTGGTTTGATAGTCAAATCTTAAACTGTAGGTCTTCTACAGTTTGAGCCAGCCCGTGAAGGGCATTGTTTAGTCAATTATGCATGTTTAGTCAAATCTTTCATGTCCATAAATTAATTATATAACTAAAATGGCTTGGGTGTTTGATTTTGTTTAGTCAATTATGCATGTTGGATTAGTGGAGGCAAATCAGCTCGTAAAATAATTCAAATAATGAGCAATGAATTATTTTATGATTAAACAACCCTCCTGAAGTCTACCACCAACCCTTTTTTCTTCAGCTACATCTTTATTTTTTAGGTGATTACATAACAATCAAGAGTTATATATATGGAAAAGGGTTTATTACTTACTTATTTGATCTTATTCATTTTGTATAGAAAAGTCAAAAACGTGACTAAACAAATAAAGAAAAACAGTTTAATGCATTAGTTTGAAACATCCCAAATCAAAGGCAAAAACCTAACCTGTTGTTCTCCTAAACAATAGAAAAAGAAGAGGAAGAAGCAAGATTAAGGTCATTGAAAAGGATATGTTGCTGCTTTTATCCTAATGGCTTTTTCTCATTCGTCTTCTTAACCAATTTGGCACAATAAGACTTTGGCAAATTGACTGTGTCAATATGAATGTACTCATTATTCGCTTCTTTTATTTTATGAATAATTAAATGGGACATTGTTGCAGCAAATGGAGATAGTGCCAAATAAGTGGAAGCCAAGCCAGCAAGTGACCATGTACATTCACTTGATCAGGTTAATTAACTGAATTTATTGTGGTTTAGACCTTCTCTATTAAATATTTTGATCATTTCCATATCTAAATTTATAATTTAACGTGGAGATAAAAAAAAAATTTGACCGCAATCAAGGTAGTTAATTTCCATGTGAATTGTATTCATTAAATTATCTCGGGTGGGATTGCCAATATATATTGTCAATTAGTCTTTGTAAACTCACCTGCCCTACAACCTCATTCATCTTCCCCGGGATTGCCAGCCAATGTGTCTTGTCAATATGCAATTGTTCTTTGTAATTGTTTCAAACTATCCGCCTGGCTACGGCCGGTAATTAAATAAATCAATTACAATTCACTTCAAGCCCAATACAGAGCTAGCTAGTCTGTTAATGAAGGAAGCAGCCAGTTGATAAGAAATTCAACTAGGATCACAAAACAAAAAGGCAAATTGTTTGTTATCTCCCTCCCACAAGGCTAGGTCCAAGATACCTGGGACAATTGAATCTGAGAGGCTTTATTATTCATTCCCTTGGAATATTATAGATTAAACTGGGTGTCCCATTTGCCAGTTCCTAACTGAGCTTGCCCAAAATTCTTTCATTTGTTTATTTTATTTTAGTGTTTGATATTTTGCGTGGATACTTCAGGAACATAGTTTTGTAGCTGACATTGGCATTTCCTTACAATTTCGCCGGACTTGACATCATGCTCAGAACTTGTCTCCAGTGGCTGGCTGACCCGAAAATGTTTCCTTCAAGTACGGGGCTGCACTTGAGACTTTTTCAAGTGGACCAAGGCGCCGGCCGCCATAGTGGAAAAAAACCACAGTGCGGTGGAGAATATTATTGCCATGATAGCCATTTGCAATCAGTGGTTTTTCACCGAGTTTCAAGGGATTTAAGTATTATTTAGAAAACTTTTAAGTAAGGGCACTGTCTGTCACATTCCACAAATACTGGTTTCTTTTCACAAAACCATAAACATAACAAGTTATTGTGCCTTAACTTGGGTAAATAGAATAAAAGGAAATCATTAAGTTTAAAAAGAAAAATGCTATAATTTCGGATCGATATTAGGGTAACTCCATTTCGCCAAAGTTCTTAAATTTGGTAATCAATTGTTCATAAAACTACATAAAAGGTCAAAGCTTATCCACACCTTTTAGGTAACAAGCATGCTGCTTGGTTGAGCTTAATTTTGACCGTATCCGATGAATGTGAAGTTGGTTCACTTCCACTGCAATCCATCAATCAAAATCAATCCACACCGTTTCAAACTCAACCTAGCGGTCAAAGATTACAGGTGCTAATTTAGAAGGGAAACAGAGAAACATTTGACTACAAGGTTTTTAATTAGATAACGCCAGAATTAAGCTGAGCCTTTAATGATTTAAAAGTTGACTGTTTAATCACTTGGTTCTTCTACCTAAATAACCAAGTTTCCAGCATGCATGAGCTAAATTTGTTGGCGTAGAAACTGTATTTTCCAACAAAATTACCAAAACTTGATCTAGTTCTAATTCTAATGTGTTTCCATGCCGTTTGGCCTGCAATTGTAAAATTGTAATGCATAATTCATATCCATTCATGTATCGACTGGGCTCAACATCCATCAGACTTATGGACAGTTCGATACAATTTAGCAAGTGAAAATGCAAACCGAATTAGCATTATTTCTTTGGTCTGTAGCACCCCTCTACCAATAAAACGACTAAGCATTTTTTCTTTGCTACTTGGTAAATGGTGGTGCAAGAATGAAACTAGCCGGAAAGTTCATGTTCCATTGAAACAAAACCAAGTGTATGTATCAACTTTCTTTTTAAACACCAGAATTGAAGAAGAGGGTAAACAAAAAACGAAGACATAGAATTGCACCATTCTCAATATTCCACTCCCCCAACCTTATCATTATTGAGCTCGCTCTCCCTGGCCAGTCTTCACCACTGAGAGCTAACATATCAGTACCTTGAAGAGAAGATAATGGTAAAGGTACTCCCAGAAGAAGCCTTAAACTTACTCCTTGAAAACACTTACCATGTGGCAAGTCTGAAAGTTACAATTCATCACTAGTATATCTGATTAACCACTCATCAAATGATCTCGATTCTTTACTGCACACATACGGCAAGATAACAATTGAAACCAACATTCACCTAAGACATCACTAAGTTGAGCAGAAAAACCTCAAACAAAACAGGGGATGCACGAGAAATTAAGAACGGCAACTAACAACTGAATTCTAGCTTAACTGAGAAAGACTGCCACTGAAAGTCTGCTTCACTCATCATCCCAGGTTGATGCCCCGCCCATTCCAACTTCAACTGCTGGGGCCAATTGAAGTTCAGGAAGCACACCACGTTTACTTTTCTTCATTTTCACAGGGAAAGTAACTAAACTACCTGTTGATTTCTTAACTTGACCAGATGTATCAAATATCTTCCTTTCACCATCATCTTTTGGATCTGCAACATCAGTTGTGAACAGCTCTGTGAAAGAGGCACCTCCATCATCAATAATGTCAAGTTCGGCCCGTTTCCCTAATTTTTTCTTCTTTGGTTCCTCTTCAACCATGATACCATCCTCACCCTTGTGCACTGAAACTTCTTTCTTCAGGAGCTTATCATTTGTTTTCCTCCCTTTTTGTATAAATTCTTTCTCCAAACCAAGAAGACTCACATTTTCCTGTTCCCCCTTTGATTTTTTCTTCTTTTCTTCCTTCTCAACAATGATATCATCCTCATCTACTGGAACTTCTGTTGACAGCTTGTCATTTCCTTTCTTCCTTTTCCTCTTCAATTCTTTCTCAGCGTCATGACCCGTAGCATTATGAAGATTAATATCCTGTCCTTGAACAGACACCTGAAATTTGGGATTTTTTTTCCCTTTCTGATCCTTTTTCTCCTCCTTATGAATTTCTCCCTTGTAAGCAGTGTTATGTGAAGCAATGTGAACAATTTCACCCATTTCATTTTTTATACTTTTATCAATTGGTCTAGCATTGAATATGTGCAAGGTAGGCAGTAACTTTTTAACCTGCAGTAGAGTCATTTATAGTAATTATGTCCAGAGACTAAGGTCATAAAACTTTTTTTCTTGAAAGAAAAAAGGAAGAAAAAATGTAGACAAGAAAAGTGTAAAAGGGCAAACGTGACTACCTACAAAACAATAGACAAGAAAAGTGTAAAAGGGCAAACATGACTATCTACAAAGCATAGACAAGAAAAGTGTAAAAGGGCAAACATATGCCTACCTTCTTTGCTAATTTATCCTTTTCAGCTATAGGGTTTCCTTGTAGATTGAGATTCTTCAGATTAACTAATGAATCCAGTGCCTGTCATTTAGTTTGTTGCCCATGAACAGTACTGAAAATGCAATTCCCAGGAAAAGAAAAAAGACCATAAAATCAGGACAAACATCAAGTTTGCTTGCAACTAACCTTCAAATCTGACCATCTAGTGATTAAGTTATTTCCCAAGTCCAAATTTTGAAGTTTCTTATTATAAGACAACTCTGCTGGGAGACTCTGGGCAATTCACACACATTAAAAGAGGGAGACAGGAGACATCAGTGATTAATTAACAAAATTAAAATGTATAGAAATGGGTAAAGAATATAGGAAATAAAAATGAAAGAAGCTAACTGAAACATAATAGAGGCCGCAATGTACGAAACATGCTTAATAGGATAGTCATTATGCAAAAGAGCATACTTTGATATCATTGTGGGCAAGTCGAAGCTCTTTTAATTCAATGCAGGACTTGAATGAAGACTTGATATCTTGAATTTGGCAGTTAGACACAGAAAGCTGGAACCAAGAGCAGTAGAAAAGCTTTAGGAGTAATCAATTGAAATTGCATCTATAACATAACAATAAAGGAAGAACTCCTCACCTTTGTGACAGATTTCAGCTTGACAAGCGAATCACCAATTTCACTGATAGGATTTCTCGAAAGCACTGCAAGAAATTCCAGACAACAGAGACTAACATCCAAGTTAAACGACTTAAGAGATTTCTGATGCACCAGTTCGAAGAAAAAACTGGTTTTCTCTCCTCACTTAGTTTAGGTAAGTGAATAACACTAAGAGGACAAAAGTTATGATAGTATCCATGAAACAACTAAGAACAGTTTTTTTTGCATTTTAAATGACAAATAAAGTGACCAAACTCCTTCATGGTGCTTGAGAGTTGAACCTTTTGGCACTAACAACATTGTACTCTAATTACCAAATTTTAAATTAGAAAGAGTTCATGTATAACCTATCCTAAATCCCGGCCAAACGAAAATGCCTTTTAACAGTATGCGGAGTCATCTTAAAAGGGTTGGATTTGAGTAGCGCCAAGAAGAGGGAAAAGAAGTAGGGTGATGGGATGAGTTAAAAGCATGATTAGACAGGGTTAAGCAGAAATAGTTATCCCAACATTCCACTCCAGAATAACAGAGCTGTACTCTATATCATCTCCATTCTTACATTTGAATTTCAGCCAAAAGGCAATTTAAGTTAACTTAGAAAAAAAAAATCATTGTAGGGTGTCATAAAAGCACATGCTGATGGCACCTTAATGAATGTCAAAATAAAGGCTATGAACCCATACCAAGAGTGTTCAAGTCTTTCATTCCATCAAGGCCACATATTGAAACAATCTCATTGTCTGCACAGCCAGCGAAACGGGGTCAATTGGCACTTTTATCCTAATTGCAAAGGGGAAAAAAAAACAGTCTTTGAAAACAATTAGAACAAACCAGCAATGTAATGCATTTTATTACAAATCTTACCATTCAAAATTAATGCGCGTAAATTCACAAGTGACCTAACCTCTTCCATTGATCTAAGCTTATTTTTGCCTGCATTCAACACCTAATTTACAAGCAAACGAATCATTTTTTCTTTTTTGTCAATGTAATGCATTTTAATTTGTTAATAAAATTAAGAATAAACACAGAAAGTTTAATGCTACTTACAGTGAGCTTAGTGAGTCGTTCAATTCCTTTCAAAGTTTGCAATTTGTTTTGAACAACTGATAACCATTTCAAATTAACGCAGGACTTCAATCCCTATAAATTGAAATTAAAGTTAAATTTAATTGTATTTAATAAGTAGGCAGCAACTGAGAAAAGATTAAACAAACAAAGAAAAAAGACCTCCAGTGAAGCGAGATTGTTAAAGGCCAGGTCGAGTCTTTCCAGGTTTTTGAATTCAGCCAAGCAAGAAACCTGTAAAGAAAAAAAAAAAAGAGAAGCAATGAGAGGAGAGGAAATGGAAGGGATTGGAGAAAGACGAATGGCGGCGGCATCGTACATCGGAGAGAGCTTTGTGGTTGAGAGAGAGAGCAGTGATGGTGTTGGCATCATGGGTTTGTTTGTCTTTCAAGAGTTGCTCTTTGGTCAAGCGAGCCATGGACCGCGGGGTATGGGTTTTAGCTGTAACCCTAGCTTTTCTGTCCAGCGAATTCGGCGGCGAGGCGGAGAATGTAGTTTCCTTTGAAGCATGAACAGGGGGAGAGACTGCACGAAACGTGACTTAGCGGCCCAACATTTTAACACAAGGAAATGTCCGTTGTTCCCCATTTTATCACTATTACGTAGTATTTTTTTTTTTCAAAAACATAAAATAAATGGAATTTTTAGAAATAAATATTTTTTAAAAAAAAATTAAATGTTCAAACTAGGATCTTTTTTGTTATTTTCGAAAATTATTTTCCAAAAATAAGATCAATAGAAAGAATAAAAATAGAGTAATTGAAGGAAATCATGGTGAAAAGAAGGCAGTTACGTCCTCATTTCTTCGTAGACCATTTAAAAATGGGAGAAGGAGCCCATCACAAAACTTACCTAACTCGTGGGTTTTATCTTGCAGTGTACGTAGCCTCTAAGCCTCATAATCAGATTTCAATTCAGGTACTGCATCTCAAGAGTTCCAAATTCCGGTCAGCAAACATGGTTTTAAAAATAGAAATGAAAGATTGAATCATAATTTTGGTACTAAGCTGAGAATTGGAAGTGAAACATGTTTCGGATTCTGATTAGCAGCTATAAATATGATGTTGTATCACTCAAACCAAATCATTAAAATGAGAAACGATCATGATTGAATTTGATTCAAATAATTTCGAGTTCAAATCAAAATAAATTTGAATTTTTTAGAAGTTTGACATTTTTGAATTTGAGTTGGATTTGAGCTACAATCAAATTTGTGATTAAATTTTATATTTTAGTTTTAAGTTTAGATAATTACAATTTTAGATCATCTCAATTTCAAGTTGCTTCAAATTTGAGTCATTTTAGATTCAAATCAATTCGGGTTTATATTCAATTTAGCAGCATTAATTAGAATGCATACATTTCCTGAATAAAATATAAACATTTCCTAGCCTTAAGTTTAAGGGTTAAATTCTAATAGATGAGGAGGTGACTATTGTACCTGGTATAGAATGCAATGCTAAGATCTCCTTATGCTTTTATGTTCTATTTATGGACTTATGCTTGATACGAAGGTGTTTCATATATCTATCTGATTCATTCATGGTGGGTTGTGCTTAACTTGCCACCAAAGAAAATTTAAAATCCTATCTTCATGCTTTATTCAGGATATGCATTCTATTGATCTGAAACAATTCCTTCTTGTTCTGTGAGTTCTGGGCCTCTGCTAAACTGCAACATTTAAATTTCTCTAAAAATATGCAACCCAATCGACAGTGATGGGCAAAGGCCATAAGGTAAGAATCAGAAAATAACAAAAAATAAATAAATAAACAAGAGAAACCTCTTTAATATTGTTAAAATAAAATGTGAACAAAGCTAGCTGTCCTTCACCATGATTTCCTCCAATTCACCAATTTTTGTTCTTTATAATTATTCTCTTCTTTTTGGGGAACTGGTTGTGCAATATAATGTTCTCCTAGGCTATATCTTGTAGTTCAATGTTGCTTTAGAAATATGAAACTAAGGCTATGAGAGATTAGAGCAACATTACTATTCCCTGTACTGAAGCCTGAAAGCAATCATGTACTCTTTTCATCTGTGGGGAGCAAGTAATATTTACGCTGAGACAACCAAACGAGCTTAAGTGCAGATGGTAGTGTATCCACACGGTCAAGAAAACATAGAAAGGTGCATAATAAACATGGATTCATAGACCTAGTGTCCCCATATAATAGATCAACAAACGACATGGAGAGAAAATAAGTATAGTTAAGCCCATCGCCATAGCAGATGCAGCTCTCCAGGACCAAAGGTTATTTACCCTGCCAGCCTTTCTGTACCAGACTTCAACTTTGATCTGCGCAAAATGAGAATGATAGTGAAGCAGTCTCAAATGTGGATAACAACAACAATTCAAGTAAAATAATATCAGTGTGCAATGAACATTTTCACAAATATGTAATTCCATTTTCTTTTGGCTTATTGCATAACGAAAATGCAATTTCTCTGCTATTAAACAACCCTGCTAGTCAGCAACATGAATATTCATCTCCATCTGGTACTATATTCCTGCCACACTCGTTAAGACCTGGCACGTATGAATTATACACCTTTTTTTCATAAATTCAAAGGAACACGCACATAGTGGAGAAACTTGAAACTGGCACATTTCAGGACCTTAACCTATCCTCTTCGGAGTATGACAAGGCCCCATTCTGAAGGAATAGAAGGACCAAGGTCTTTATATGACTGGATGGAGGCCCTATTGCCAAGACATATAAAATCCTTAAATACAAAATTTCGATGACATCACTTCTATTCCACGACATAACTATTGAAACAATAATTGTCACCAAAATGTTCCCAGAACAAAAAATATTGTAAAATTCAACATATCAATAAAATCTACCAAGAAAAATGAAAAGGAAACCCTGAAAGGGAAAAAGCTATGTTTGGCTAGGCAGGGTGCAAGCCCTGCAAAGGAAAAAGTCAAATTCACTGCTAAAAATCATACTATTTTAGAGCCCTACAAAGGAAATGTTACATGGCAAGAAATGCTGAGCCTAGGAAACAAAATTTTAGATTAGAAAAGAAGCACTCTGAACCTAGCAGCTTAAGTAAATATTGCCACAAGTACCCCAAAGCATAACCAAACTGTTTAAATGCCATGGAACAAAAGCAACTGAACTTCAGTTTCAAACTACAATATGTTTTCATTTTTCTGTGGTTGTTAAATCTCTTGACCTACAGATGTTATTGGAGTATTTGATGATTTAGAAACTGGTATTATAGACAGCACATAAGCTAACATTCCAGTGTTTACAAATAACCATAAAGAATACATTTCAAGACTAAAGAAATAAAGTATACCACATCAAACGCTTTCTGTCACCACATTTATAGGTTACATGCTATCACTGCACACAAGAAGCTTGAGCCTGGGTAGGGGTTCTTCAACTATCAAAATATTCTTAATGTATGAACCTCTGTGTCAGTAATTAAAACAAATTCATGAAGTTCTCAACAATAACAGACATTGCTCCAAGCCCTTCAACCACTCACAAAAATACACTGCAAAGTATAGTACAAGGATGAAGCAAGGATAAATGGGATATAAATATTCCTCTCTTTTACTATGTTTACTCCACTAAAATTATAAAAGCCACTGCTCAATTTTAGGCTAATTTTTGGCCTCAAGCAGCTTTGCCCCTATTGCATCCAATAATTACAAGAAATCAGTTTCTGTTCAACTTAAACATTGATTTACTTCTTGAACTAATGCTAATACATATGTATAACTGCTGTGAGAGACTACATTCTTTTAATATATAAGGCTTTTAAAGCAAAGAATATTGTTGAAATTGATGCTCAAATTATTTTATTAACATGATTGTAACAAGCAAACCCATTAACCTACACTTTTGCTTACACTTGAGCTAAAAGCATAAAACTTTCTTGTCTTTCCCTTTTTCCTTCGGTTCCTAAGCAACAAAGCACACTAATATCCAACTTTGCAATCAGAGTTAGAAGAAGAAGAAGATCACAAATAAATTGAATAAACTACCAAAAGTACACAAATAAGTGTAAAAACTATTTAATTCTCCCGGCAGAAATCTCGCAAATTCACTAAAACAACCAAAAACAAACTGCTATGAAGTATCCAGACATGTCTTTGATCTACTGCTACATTCATAGCTGTACTCATATAGTTACCATTTATATCTTCATATTTTGTATATAAATGCCTAGTCAGTGTAATATCAAACTCATTGAGGAAAAGGTTGGTGATTTACCCTCTATATTCTGTCTTCCAAAACTTCTTGAAACCACCATAATAAAGTAAAAAATACCATAAGGTAAGACCAAATTTCTCCAAATTTACAAACCATGTGTTGTGTGTGTGCCAGGTAAACACCCTGCAGAGGCCAAAATCTTTGACATAAAATCCAAACATTAACAGCATTATCACAAGAAGCTCACAAGAGAATATAGTTAAGACAAATTGCACGATAATTTACCAAGTGAAAAATATCCCATCAAAGCTTACCCCTTTCATTTTATTTCCCTATTCCTCTTGACTTCCCTCTTCGTTTTCAATGTCTATTTGATGCATCTCCAGCCTGCCGACGAATTATACGTTCCTCCTGCTCTGATGTTCCATTGATTGGAACCAAGCTCTCGACATAAACAATAAGCTTCATTGTATTCCGATAAGCATGGATACCAAGATTCTTAAGCTCTCGAGTGGCAGGATCAAACAGCACTAGTTCGTGGTTTGAGCTCTCCAGAAATAATTCACCGTTCTTCCAAAACCCCAGTGGCCTCTCAACTCCAGAAACAGATTCAATACTGAATTGTCTAGTCCATGATCCATTCATAACCCACAAATCGATAGACTTTTCAGTTCCCTCCCTTGGGTATACAATTGCACCAAGCGATCCATTAAAGTCCAAAAGTTGCAAATAATATTGTGCTAAAGACCCACCAAAGTTTGGCAAAGGTAAAGTTGAAAACTTTTCATTAGCCATGTCAAATGAAAGAATAAGGTAATTAGAATTCCCAGTTGCCTGCCAATAATAAAACCCATTTACGTAATTATTGAATAAAGGTGAGCCGTAAGGATGTGCCTCAGGAACTGAAATTTCCTTCCAGGAATCACTTTTCAGTGAATACAACTCAACTTGGTGGATCCAATCAGCTTGCAAGCCTTCGTCTTCATTCTCATTAAAATAATTAGTAACAAATCTTACAACTTTGTAGTCATCAGTTACAGAATCAAAACCAAACCCAAGGCAACCAAACCTAGTGGAATCTATCGAAGGAGGGCGGTTGACTGAGGATTGAGGAAGGATTTTAAACTCTCTGGTCGATGGGTTCCAAAGGGCAGCTTTACCAGCATCATGTAAACAAAGTAATCCATTGCAAGGACCAGAAACTACAGGGGCATACCAACAATTTTCAAAAAAGGGTAAATGAATGTTCTCTGTTACTGAAAAGTTTCCCCCTTTTTCTGTTGAGAGTGCAGAGAAATAATGGATGTCGTTACGGGTGTTGCCGTGACAACGTTTGAGGAGGAGATTAAGGTTGTTGTCTGTGAGGTTGTTTTGGTGATGTTTAGTAATGAAATCAGGGGTCCGAAAAGAAGAAGACCAAGGCTTACAAACGCACCTGAAACGTGCCAGGGATTTAACTGGAAGCTTTGAGAGGATGTCCATCATCACCATGTCCGGTATTTCAAATTTGCTCCACCCTTGCATTTTTCCTCTTGTATCTTTTCACTTCCTCTTTTCTGATCAACGGTTTTGAATTGAACAACAACAACAACTAGTCCTTTTTATATGAATACATGAAAGAAAGATAGAAAGAAAATTTACTTGCCTTGCCCACAGAAATAAGTCAATGGGGAGGACAAATTGAACTTACACATTTTTCATTTTTTATGTACAAAATTCTTTTTTTATTCATTTTTTTTCTTTTCTAGCCATTTTCGTTTATCTTATCAATATGCTTTGTTTTACTTTCCCGAGACCGAGAGGGAGAGGGAAGCTTTTTCTTTTTTCCTTTTTTTTTGTCAAAAAAGAAAGTTCACTTTAGAAATGGCAAGATTTTTAATGGTGGTTTCCCTGTATGACAATGTTATCACTTTACACAACATAAACATAAATGTAGTTACCAAGGTCTCTCAATGCGTGAGTATTTTTCATTCATTATTTATTTTAATATGAAAATTTTTCATTCTTCTCCTCCCAAATATAACCTCAACTTCAACTTGGAACAAGTGTAACAAATTCACAAATATTTTTTTCGTATATTGTTACGTGTTAGCTTGAGAATAATGATACCTTAAACTAGAAATATTTTAAATTAGACAAGTTAACGTAGGTCAATATATTCTAATCTACTTGTGATTCTCAAATACTCTCTTGATAACATAGTCTAATTAAGATTAAATTTTCATGATGTGAATCAACATTTAAAAAGAAAAACTTAGGTAAATAAAATACCAACCTCAAAAGTATTCAAACGCATGAAAATTAATTTGTTAAAAGCAAATTGATCAGATTATAAATAAAATTGTACCCACAAATTTCATGTGTGGAAGTCAAACACGAAACGTTCAAGTGCATAGAAATTTAATTAATTCAAAAATTAAATACCACCTTCAAAAGTTTTTAAGTAAAAATAAACACTGCTCCGGTTCTTTTCTTTTAAAAAAAAAAAGAAAATTTGCTTCAAGAGTTTTTATGGTTTATCTCGAAATAAAAAAATTTTGATTTTTCCCAAAATTTAGGGATTTTGATTTCTTGGTAGTCCTAAATTCTTAAAATTTCAATTCTTTGCGAGAGTGGAGGATATAGTTAAACTCCTCCACCATATGCTTGTTCAGATTCTTATCTTTCCAGACAAATGTTTGTGGCTTATTATCTACCAAACATTGTTTTGTCTTTTCCTTGAATTTATTAATTTGCCTTACCACTTGTTTTGCAATTAATTTTTTGGTGGTGTTGTCAGCAACTGGTTGCACCATGACTTTGTCACTGATAGTGACAATTAAAGATTTTATTAAGGATTTTTTAATGTATTTTACATGCATTTAAATATTTAATTAATTAATTATAAATATATATATATATATATATATATATATATCTTGTTAATGATGAATGACGAGGGTACGCGTAGGTAGTTTTAAGAAATATATATAGCACCCAGGCTTTAATTACTTTGTAATTTTGAAAGTAAAGGTCTAAGGTTCTTCCTATTATTGCTCATCTTTGCTTGGATATTTTCTTCACCTGTATTTCTTTACTCCTACCAAACGTAACTTCAACGTTGACATGAAGCCTAAGAAATTTACAAGCTTCCACGCTCAAAGATTGTTCACATGTGCTACGTGTACCCATTTTCAATTAATGAATATAGCTGTGGGGTTGAGAATAATAATCTTATGATAGATAATTTTTAAATTACACATTTGTCTTATCTTCGTGTGAAACATATTAATTATATGTTTTTTTCCACATAAATAAGACAAGAATAGATGGATGCATATATATGGTTGTTGTAGCTGTAGTGCTGTACGTGCACACTTGACAGTCTAAATGCAGGGAGAGAGATGGGCTAGCCAGTGATATATGGCCATATATATTTCATCATAATTAGTCACATATATATATATATATATATAGAGAGAGAGAGAGAGAGAGAGACCAACCTAAAAGCATTTTAATTTAATTTGCTAATGTACTTGTTTATTTTCTCTCATTTTCTCAAGGATGAAGATAACGACACTGCAAAATGACTCGTCTTACCACAATAATCGAAAGAGAAATGCGTAGCAGGAATCATGACAAGACTTGTGATAAGGAGACGATTCCAACAAAATGGGAATTAATTGTGATGCAGTTGTCATTGAAACAACATTGTAATGGTTTTCAACAACTTAAACTGGACTTGCATTAAACTCCTTTCTTCCTACAACAATTTTTTGAGCTAATTAAGGGCAACAGTTTGGGGAGGTTCAGACGGCTGGGACCAAAGTTAAACAGGATGGAGGAGCCCTCATAAACCCAAACAAACACCGGAAGTAAACCTTGATTTTATATGGGAGATGCCAAACTTACTAATCATATACTTATCTACTTTTTAGAACCGTTATTCTAAGATTTATCTTATTTATAATTAAGAAACGTCCATCCATCATATCAGAACTAGTATAATTCATTTTTCATCACTAGCTTGAAATTCTGATCCTATCCCTGCCGAATGGTCCGCCATTTCATCACTACTCGACGGAGGGTCAGGGAATGTTATACTATCTTGCAAGCTTCCACACGGGCCTGAAAAATCTTTGGGACAGTCTTTGAGCGTCTTGGGGGGCATTTCCTTATTGTAACATAGTCGAATCTCCCAGAGCTGGAGCCTTTTTTTAACCTCTTTACTTCTGCTGCAAGCAATCTCAGGTTTTGCTCCTACTTGCCTTCGAACTGCATCTGCGACCTGTTTTACCGTGTAACTTTTTCCAGGAGTAAGTTGAAAGGCTGAGTCAAAGCAATAGCAGACATGCAATATGTTAAGAACTAGGAAGCAATATTGTTATAATTATTATACATTCAAAGAGTAGGGGAGTATCTTATATAATTACTTAATAATTAGACTGCCCTTATCCCTTGATAGCCAGCCATTTTATTCCAAATTTTAAAGTCATATCTTTTGACATTCATGTTTTATCCTTGATTATATGCCTATGGAGGTCTACAAAAGATCCAAATTAAACATAAATCCTTTACTTGCCATTAACTTTTAATATAATGACGATGTCAATATTATTTGAACTACAGATCGTTAAATTAATACACGAATTATCCTTCCGAAATTCATGTCATGTTAATCTCCAATTCTAATTATTGTTACCATTCAATAAAAAAAAAATAAAACCTAGGATCCAATTAATTCTTCCCTTCTCCCTCTTGTCCACATGTTAAACAAATAAATAGATATCTTTTTTTACCTTTCAATTATTATTCTCACTATTATGACTCTCACCTTCTCACTACCTCAATTTTTTTTTTTATAAGATAACCGACCGGTACTCCTACCGCAAGTTTTCTCTTTGGAAAGAAAATTGAAAGAAAAAGAAAAAAAATAAGAATAACATTTTTAGAACCAAATATTCAAATCATATTTAAGTTTTATTAGACCCTATATCTAATTGTCATTTTTCTACTTAAAATTTTCTGTTTACTTTGTTGTTTAATTATCATATTCTAATCGTTATAAGACAAGTTAAAAGCAATATGAAAATAATTTAAAAAGTTAAGCCCTTAAAATCAAATATATAATAATTCATGTATAATTATGCTTTTTTTTTTGTTGTCAAAAGATTTCAAATTAAAATTTCAATTTTTAGTCTTCATCTATTCTTTGTTTTGTATCCAAGTAGAGTACTTTTCTACTTTTATTTTTAGGATTAAAAACGAATTTTCCAAAATAACTATATCAAAAATGAAGTCCTTACCTCCATGCACACTCAAGCTAAGAATGTCTCAAAATAAGATCATTGAACATTTGGGGTTTAAAAGAGAAGCTAAAATTTATGTTTATGTTCAAAATCCAAAAGGTATTGGAATATATCTTTTTGGATATACGAATAATTAGAATGTCCAACTATAATATTTATCACAAATGAATAAGTGAATTAATTAGTATTCTTTTTGTTTTGATCAGTTAAGTATAAGCACCTGGATCGAAGCCATCTCTAAGATTTAAGGCAGAGTTGAAATAGTCAAAAGGCTCATCTGGATAATCAGAACACATTCCATGTTTTCTCCATTCTTCTCTCCAAAAAAATTGATTTTGCTGCTCACTTCCGGAGTTCCTTAAGTTTGGCCATAGTCGCTTTAATTTCTCGTCGATCTGCTGTAGATAAGGCTTTTAAAACAGCAAAAATATGACAAGCGAAGGCAAAGAAAAAAAAGTGTTAGATAACTCATAATTAATCATAAGTAAAAGTAAAAAACCTAAAAGGATGTAAGAAATGTGCGTACTATGAGATTATCAGGAGATATAGGTATGTCAGTGGTACAAGGATTCGCTGGATTATAGGGGGGTATTCTTTTGTCTTTGGCATCCTGTGGCCATAAACCATGGATGGTAAACTGGCCGGGGACAGGTCCTCGACAATTCAAACCTGCAGGAGGCTCCGAAGTACACGTGGAAGGTGGCCATTGGAGGCTCAATTTGTAGAAGGCGAAATTCGACGTGGAAACAGTGTCCCTGCTGGTGGAAAGTAGTCGTGGTTGGAGATGGAGTTTGTGCAACACAAATGCATGTGGATCTACTAGATACCAGGTGATTGCGGCTGAAAGGCAAGCCGCCGCACCAACCGCCAATATGTTATAACGATGCATCTCACAAACTGGCACCAAATTTCTAAGAAAGGATTTTGGTTACTCCTTCCATCCATGTTATGTCTATTTAAAGTATTCGAAGAGCCCATGCGTACGTATGTCGTAATTACTTTCGTAAAATTTTTAATAATTGTTTAGGGTTTGTAATTGTAAGAGTAATTTGCCCACACTGATGTGGATGGATGGAGGCCACCTTATATTGACTGTATTCTTTTGCATCCACGTTACCATTAAGTCTATCACAGTTTGAGTTAAATTATAAGCCGTAAATACGTTACCTTTTAAGACTTTGTTTTCAGGAGATAAATTAATTAATCATGATATGTGCCTTAATTTGATTTAATATCACCTTTAATTATTTTTAATTAAGTAGTATATTTTGGAAAATAAAATGGTAAGATACTAATGTGTATAATTATTAGTTTTTTGCTTCGTAAACTCGTCATGAAACCAAAATAAAATGAATTGGACTAATAATTACTCTATGTTTTTTCTATTATTATAGTGACGGATGCAGAAAATGTATTGTGAAAACAAGAAAATAAATGAAATGACAAAGACTTCAAAGCACAAGGACAAAGTCTTGTTGATGGATTTTTTGTCAGCCGCGTGGACATTATCTAATTTCTCTTATCCTTCCATAACAAACATTATTTGTGGCTTATTCTCCACAAACATGTTTTTGTTTTCACTCCAAAAAAGCCAAAAAAAAAAAACATGTTTTTGTTTTACTACTCAAGTAATTACATCTTCTGCCATTCTAAATGAGTGCATTAGATTTTTATATTGGTTTCCATGCATAGTTAAGATCATCAGAAGCAACGACTGCTCATTTTAAGTTCTTTGAAGCTTGAAGCATCATGCGATCCAGCAACCATCGAGTAAAACTCTTGTTTTCTTTCAAACTTCGCCTAGGAATAGAGTTTTACTTAAACCTGCAATTTTGTGTACCATACAAATACGGCACGGGATTTGTCGAGTTTGAATGTGAAATAATCATATTTTAATCATAAAAATTTTATTTTTTAATACATGTCCAATTCGTTTAAGTTTTCTTGTTAAATGAATCGTGATATTTTACATACTCGTTTAATTAGTCATGTAAACATGCTTATTTATTATTCGATTATGACTTGATGTAGATAGTGATAAATTTCACTATACTTGACAAATATTAATAATTTATTATTTTTAAATTTAAATGACGAAATTATATTTTATTGGTAATGTATGCATTTTAATTTAATCATGTTAATAATGTTTAATGTGTTTAAAATTTTATTTATTTTAATCATTTAAATGGATTATAAATTCACCAATTTAATAATCGTATCAAATGCCAACATTTAATAAGTGAATGTACATTCGCGTTTAAAATCTTAATATATAATGTTTAATTAATTATATCCTGTTCTTGTTAAACCGAATGAGCATAAATTGTCAAGTGTCGTTTTACCGAATCCATGAGCAGCGAATTTTGAAAAGCAAAGGCAACCCCTCGGACGAGTGGAGCTCACGCACAAACCATTGTAACAGCAATATCGAAATTACCAGCAGAGGTTGAAATGCTGGATTGGAGTTGAAGCATTATCCATAATTCACCCGTAACATCCGTCTAATTTACATCATAGAGATATAGTCAGCAAGTCCACGTCTCAATTAGCACCTAAATGCCCATTTTACCTTTGAATTAACCAAAGATTAAAATGCATCCTGGAAAATGGCACATGCGTACCACAAGACTTTAGGAAGTCTATCTCCCTGCCTTCACATGCCTCCAACCGCTACTCATTTTCCATTGCAGACACTATGCACGACGGACAAAAGTACAGCGGTATCCCTAAATTAGACCCTTCAGCTTTCTGTACCTACTGCTGCCAAGGAAGCTACTCAAACACGGCAGCACCAAAGTCCACACAACAAAATTCAAGGTAAAACAGCTTGGAAAGAGGAAACAAATTAAATAGGATTATCATGAAATGAATTTTTCCTGCTGCTCTTGAAGAATCTTTGCTGAAGACTTGGCATCTATATATAGCTTGCTCACTTCCTCAAGATCCGCCTGTAAACAAATTTTAAAAAAAAAAAATTCACAATTACTCCTTGATTTGATGATAAAGAACAATCAAGAAGAATAGCTGCTTCCCAATATTTAATTACCTTGCAAATGCTGTCTCGACCATTCATTTTTGCCACAATGCTAGCAGGTGATAACAGCTGAACAGCATGCCTGAAGAAACAGCAAAATGTAAGTATACTGCAGATGGAGAAGGGTAAATGACAGAGCAAAAGTAGAATTTATGCCTCACCTTAAAGATGTGCTTTGTCCCATCTCTCCGACGAATGCTAGACTTTCTTCATCCACAACCAGTTCTTCCACCTGTGCACGAATTGCTAAAATCTGCAGATCACAATAAGTAAAAGAAAATATAGCAAGGTCGCCATTTAAAGAATGCTACAGACAACAAAGTTATGCTGACAACAAGGCACATATAACCAGGCCTTTAACCTGTATCATTTCAGCAGGACCATAAATCTGTGTACGAATTATCACCAATCTGTCCAATAAGTCAACAGGTATGCCATGAGGACTATTCATATCAGTCCCCCTGCAAAAACGCAAATCCATTTTTCAGAAACTAGCATCAAAACACATTAGCAAAGAAAATACATGATATCTAGTATACCTTTAGAAAATATAACAATTAACATGAGGTCTATCTCCAGGCCAAAACAGAAAAATCACCTTGCAAAAGAGGTCTCATTTACTGATTCTTAAATTGCATGCCAGGAAAATGAACATAGAAAAATTATGCTGACTCTATACGTAGGTATGAACATATACACATGTGGATTATGGATTACTGTCGTGCACACAGAAAGAGCAATTTCCACAGAACAACAATACATTTAAAAATGATGTTACAGAAAGGACAATTGGGGAAGGATAGGTGGGTTGGGGAGGAAAAACCCCAAAAGCAATGGAGCATCCATTGCAATTTCATTTCATTCCACTGCATCCCAGATAGACCATAAAGACAATTGGAATCCAGCCACAAAAATGGAGATCAATCTTTCTTTATAGTAACTTGATGCTATCTAAAGTCTGACCAAAACACTATCAAAGTCACTTCAGGAATAAAGTATAACTAAACCATTTACCTCTCTCCATTCGTATTATGCTTAAACATCACATATATACCATACTCCAACCCAAATTATCACCTAGAATAGTTGAAGCAAGAAACTAGCTTGCATAACCCAAAGCCTGTGGTTGGCTGCCCCAGTTGCATAGGCCAGGAATTGGGACACATTAGGGGAAAAAAAATACAAAAAGGAAGTTGGCAGTGATTGTAGGCAATATACCTTGCCCAAGAAGATTAAGCTGTTCTAGTTTCATCAATCCTCACTCAAATTTAACACTAACCTCATTCAAAAATGTGTGTGTAGCTCCCCTCCTATGGCATGCAATATTATTTAGCAGAAAAGGAAGCAAAATGATCATTTCCCTACTCTCCATGGTAGATGAATTTAGCTGATATTGATTCATGCTTCATCCTATCACCTGCTTCTAATAAGAGCCAAATTTTGAATATAGAGCAAAAATTTCCCCAACAACCAAATCATTTTAGGGGTAATCTTATTCTAATATCAGGCTTTTTCTGCACTCTGCGCTCCATTGAAATCAAAACCAAATAGCTAATGGCATTCTTACACTTAGATTGAAGTAACGACAGAAGTCATTATGATAGATAATAGCTCCTTTTATATGCATGTTCATATATTAAACTTTCTCTAAGATGTAATTAAAAGAAAATATTTTAAAACTTCCAACACCTCAAAAGGATTTTCGTTACCTTACATTACATATTCCCCTATTTGTAGCAAAAATTACTATCGGAGATAGTGAGCTCTCTAAAGCACGATTCAAGTATGAAAAGCACTCCATGTCCAGCATATGCACCTGCAAACATGATTTAGAAAACTTAAGCATGTAAGATGTGCATATGAGCTTAGAGCATGTGCACAGGTCATGATCCATGCAACTAAGGGCATATCCCATACTGGAGTGAGCTCAAGTTTAGAAAAGGAGGAGACCTCATCAATGAATAGAACTCCTGGGACGAGCTCTGCCACACCTTCATCAATATACCGGTTAACTACCTGTCAGAAACAAAACTATTGCAGTTAAAAGACATGCTATCATTATAACAAACAATTTAGTATAATTGTTGAAGTCGAAATCTGATAATAAGCTTATATCCAATTTGAATAAGCAATCCGTATGACTCTAAAAGTCACAACCATAGAGGACAGCGATAGCTTCTAGGAGCAGACCATAACATGATCATACTAGGATTAAACCAGCAACTAGCTAAAGAGACTTTAGTTCTTAAACTAATATTTACGCTATTAGGATTTGACAATTTACTCAGACCAAAAGGGATGAAGGAAACATAAATTTGCTATAGGAAACAATGGCAGGTAAAGAAAATTCATCATATAAATTTTGGAACACTTTATCACTCTGGAGTTATTACTTGAAAAGGATGGATTGAGATACATATTGTATTTCATAGCTTTTAGAATATTCTGATCTACAAACTGATCCAACAAACTTATTAATGACATTAGATACAGGAAATACTGTACAGTACATCATCTCCCATCTGACCATGTAAGGTATACAGGCAAAACTCTAAAAACTTGACAAGAAAATAAGACACGGAGTTTTGTGAAGTTTCCCAGTGATACTATTAATAGCTATTAGTAACAGAAACACGACATTAGGAAAACCTTACTCACGAAGATTGCCCACAAAAATCATCATAGAGGTGGATCTCAAAAGTGTTTGGAAAATTATACCTTATTTATTTCTTGTCGTAATTTGTCAGTGATTTCAGTCTTCCTGGGCTTCATCATCTGACCCATTAGAGACAATATGTCTTGCCCACCTTGCGGCCGTGCATTGGCAGCATCCAGATCATGTAGTGTTACATCCTGGTGGTGAAGA